CAGTCCCCCCGAGACCCCCGAGGCCGGGATCTCCCGGCGCCCCCCCACCTGCAGAGCCCGCCGATGACCTCCTTCTCGGATTTCCTGAAGTGCTGCAGGGCCGGCACCTTGGGGGCCGGCACCATGAAGTACTCCATAACGGGGGCGGGGGGCCCGGTTCAGCCCAGCCCGGCTCGTCCCGGCCCGGTTCAGCCCCTCCCGGCCCGGCTCCGGCCTCTGCCCGCGGCCCAAGGCGGGAAACAGCTGGAGCGAGCGCGGCTCCCGCCCCCCGCCGCCGCCGCTCCCCCGCCCGCCCCCGCCCGCCCGGCGCCGCCCCCGCCCCGCACCGGCCCCGCGTAAACAAAGGCGGCGGGAGGGGCCGCAGCGCGGCCGGAGCGGCACCGGGACACGGCGGCGGGACGCGGCGGGGCGGGGGGCGACTGGAGCGGCCGGGACGGTACCGACCCATGCTGGCACCGGCCCGTCACACCGCGTCGCGTCCTGACCTGGCTCCATCCTATTCTACTCTATCATATGCTACTCTATCCTATCCCACTCTGTCCCATCCTGTTCTGTCCCAAACCCATCCTACCTCATACCATCCTGAGCTGTCCCCATGTCACTCCATACCCATCACATCCTATTCTTATCCTATCCTCATCCCACCCTATCCTATCCTACCAAACCCTACCCCATCCCACCCTGACCTGTGCCCATCCCGTGCCACCTCATTCTATCCTGCCCTAGCTCCATCCCATCCTACCCTATCCTATCCTACCCTATCCTATCCTGCTTTATCATACCCCATCCTTACCTGTGTCCATTCCACCCTACATAATTCCATCCTGCCCTAGCTCCATCCCATCCTACCCTATCCTATGCTATCCCATCCCATCCTGACCTGTTGTAACCCTATCTCATCCTATCTCAATGTCACCTGTCTCCATCCCACCTCATCCCAGCCCATCTTGCCATAGCTCTGTCCGTCCTATCCTAGCCCACCCAATTCTATCCCAGCCCATTCTGACCTGCCTCATCTCCATCCTATCCTATCCTATCCTATCCTATTTTATGGTATCCTGACCTGTCTTGTTCCAGTCCCATCTAATCCCATCCCATCCCATCCTGTCCAACCTCATCTCATCCTGTCCCATCCCATTCTATCCTCCCTTAGCCCCATCCCACCTCATCTGCCCTACCCCATCCTGCCCTATCCTGACCTGTCTTGTCTCTGTTCCATCTTACCCCGTCCTATCCTGCCCCTCGCAATCCTCTCCTACATCCAATTTCTCCCGCCTCATTCTACCCTATCCCCATCCCGTCCTGCCTAATCCTCACCCCATCCTGCCCTATCCTAGTCCTGTCCCATCCTCTTCTATTCAATCTGATCCCATTCCTATCCCACCCCATCCCATTCCTGTTTCTAACAGAGTGCGGCTTCTGGGGGGCTCAGGGGACTGCGAGTGGCTGGGGGGTGTCACAGCAGCCTTGGGGCTGTCACAGGGAGCTGGGGGTGACAGGGAGCACGTGGCTGGTGAGGGGCTTTGGGAAGAAGGCTCTGTAGGGCTGGTAGAGGCATTCTGAGGGCTGATGAGGGGTTCTGGGAGCTGATGAGGAGCTTGGGGAGTGGATGGGGGGCTGGCAGGGGGATTGAGGATCTGGTGGGGGGCTCTGGGGGCTGACAGAGTGGCTCTGAAAGCTGGCAGGGGGCTTGAGAAACTGCTGGGAGGGTCTGGGGGCTGGCAAGGGGCTGTGGGGCCTAACAGGGGGGTTGGGGGCTGGCAGGAGCTCACAGGAGGCACGGGGGGCCTCCTGGTGGGGGTTCGGGGTTTTGGGGGTGACAGGTTCATGTGGCTGGCAGGGGGCTTTTGAGGGGGTTCTGGGGGGCTGGCAGAGGGGTTCTGGGGGATGGAGGGGCTTGGGGGATGATAGAGGCTTTGGGGGGGCTGTGGAGGTGGCAGGAAGGTGTGGGGGGCTGGCAGGAGCCATGGGGGGCTGGCAGGGGCCATGGGGGGTTCACAGGGGGCACAGAGATGGAAGGGGAGGCTGCGGGACTCGGAGCGGGGCACAGGGCTGGCAGGGGCCATGGTGACTTGGGAGGGAGGCATGGAGCTGGCAGGAGCCACAGGGGGCTGGCAGGAGCCATGAGGTACCTGAGGGACCTACCTGTGGCAGGTGACATCCCCCATAGCCCCCCCAGCACTGCCTGCGTGGGTCCGGGGACACCAGGGGGTCCTGGGGGTGGGCTGTCACCTTGGAAGGGCAGGACCTGCAGAGCAGGGTGGGCTCAGCCCTCCGTCTCCCACAGCCCGGCCCCGCTGGGAGCTGCAGGACAGGTTCTGCCGGGTGTCCCCTGGGCCCCTGCCCGGCCCCCGCAGGGGCCCCACTGCGGGGGCTGCGCGTCCCCCCACGGCACGGGGACCACCCTTTGTGGGGAGCCTGCTGGGGACACAACTTCTCCCCCTCCCGCAGAAAACCCTCGGGCAGGGTGGGATTTCGGTCACCCGCGTGGGGCAGTGCTGCCCTCCCGCGTCTCCCCTGATTGTGGCGGGGGATGTTGGGGACACAGCGGCTCCCCCCGCAAAGAAACCCCAAACCACCGGTAGGATGTGGCTTCAGCCGCCTGTGCGGATCAGAACTGTCCCTCCATTCGTGTCCCCCGTTCTGCTGCGGGGCTGTTTGGAACACAGCAGCTCTGCCCTCCCAAAAAAACCCCAAACCGCAGGTGGGATGTGGTTTCAACTGCCCGCGTGAGACAATTCTGTCCCTCACTCGCGTCCCACCTTTTGTGGGGCTGTTGGGGACACAGCAGCTCCCTCTCCACCCGAAAGTCCGCATGGAACAGCGCTTCCTCCCCGTGTGTCCCTCCCTTTCGTAGGGAGGACACCGCACCTCCCTCTGCAGAAAACACCCCAAAAACAAAACAACCACGGCTGTTTTAGTGGGGTGTGACTTCAGCCCCCCGCCTGGGACAGTGCTGCTCCCCACGCGTGTGTCCTCTCTTTTATAGTGGCGCTGTTGGCGACACTGCAGCTTTCCCAGCATAAAAAAAACCAAACAAAAAACGCGTGGGGCAATGCTGTGTGTCCCCCCCCCAATTTCGGGAGGGGGGCCGTTGAGGACACCGCAGCTGCATTCCGCCCCCAAAATAAAATCACGGGTGGGGTGTGCCCAGCCACCCGCGTGGGCCCCGGGGGAGGGAGGGACCCCCCCGGCGAGGCTGCAGCATCCGGGCCGGCCCCGCCACATCCTGCCGCCGGAAGGAGCCGCGGCCCCGGGACAACCCCCCCGACGGTGACGTCATGCGGGGGCCCCCGCCAGGCGTGACGCCAGCCCCGCTCCGTGACGTCACGCGGCGGGCGGGCGGCGCCCTCCTGCTGGGAGGGGGATCCCCCCCCCACCCCCCATTTCCCCGGTGT